TAAGCGAGTAAACTTCTTAATATTCTTAATATATGTGTGTGTGTGTGGTGGGGGGGGTGGATCAAGTTCGGCTCAGAATTGTATCCTAATTCGATCAATTACGAAACGTTTACCCACTTGCCGTAAAGCTTGTAAATTTCAGCTCCGGTCTTGGAGGAATGAAGACGCAGGAATTAGTATCGGACGAGGGTGGCAGTTCGTCATCCGAACAGCCCGGTTTCTTCCCTCGGCCAAGTGTACTGCCATGTGGTCCTCCACTGAACGCAGTGACCGGTATGACCATGCCGACGTGGGTTCATCCAACACCGCCGGGAGCACCAAACGACCTGTTCGTGCATATCCAAATGGGAGAGACCTTGAACATTCTCGTCGGTAATGATGTGCAAAATATTACTGGTAGGTGGCTTTACGTAATAGCTCTTTTATTAATATTCACGATAATCTTTTTTAGGGCCAGCTACTGTTCGTATGGTTGGTGAATGTGGGATGTCACCATCTGCTCTGCCCATTCATGTTCCTCCAGGGCACGTGATCCATCAAATTGTCGACGAACAAGTAAGTTTGGTTTTGTAGTAACTAGGAATATAAACATGGAGTGAGAGTAGTAAGGTTTGTATTGTCCTCCATGAAAGTAGTGTCGTGACGTCATTGTATCTATGGTGAGTTCCCCTGCGACAATAGATTGGGCCGCCAGGTTTTCCAATTCAAATTTCGGTACATGAGAAAAACGAAGAAATGATAGAACTGCCAGAGAAAATTCAAAATGGTTTCGTTAGCGGGTTCTAATCCTGCTGCCGCATGTGCTAGATCCACCATGAGGTTTGAAGTCAGAAGGTAGACCAACAGCTCGGTCAGGCCTTTCGCAGTGAGATGTGCATCGTTGCATTCATCTTGAGACCCTGAGCTCAGAGGTACTTTCCAAATCAGCAAAACGATGCTTGGAGGAAATCTGCTTGTCAACTCTTCTTTGAGGTTGGTAAAATTGTAGTCAAACATTCTGGCAGTAATGATATCCGAAGACTTTCCAACTATCTTGCTGAAAAGAGCGGAAAAACCAGTTCAACATGGACTTGACCCAACAACATCCTGCCTGTGAGCCCACACCATCACCACGATTATTTCAACTGCAGACCTGCGTTCATAGTATACTTTAGCAGATACAGAAAACAGTTCTGAGCCCAGTGTCGCAAGGTGAATGCATTAATTCACACCTCATTCAAGTGGCCTTTCCTGGTAACATGAAATAGCCTCATTCGAATTTGGCCATCATTCTGTTCTGCCCTTCAGTTTCAGCTCTCTGATCCGATTTCCGATTTTACGCGTAACCCTCTTTCTTCCTGGAGATATTTTTTGAATACCGATGCCACCTAGCTTGAACTGAGTGATTTCGAAGTGTTTTTGACTAATTTCAGGTTCCGCATTCTATTTTTCTAAATATAA